GGTTAGAGAGCAGTAAATAATTAAAAATTCTCATAAAATCGAAAAATAAACTATGACACTGAAAATGAATGAAAATACGCTTCATCCAACTGGTACAAAAGTATTGAAAAAAAAATAAATAAATAAATTGATTGAACAACTTTTTTTTTTAAATTAGAATGAGAAGTAAAATATTATGATAAATTATATACAATAAATTATACTTGAATTTTATTTGCCAATAACTAATTGATTTCATATGATTAAATCTTTGATTTTTTTTTAATGATACAAGATTTCTTTTTATTCTTCTTGAAAAAAAAAAAAAAAGAATACAAATTACTCGTACAAGAAAAGGTAAGTGAATATCTTATTTGTCCATTATTGTTTCACTTCTGTTTTTCTTATATTAAAACAATAAAATCCAGAATTGAATATCCAACTAGTACAAAAGTATTCAAAAAAAAAAAAATAAATAAATAAATAGATTGAACAACTTTTTTTTTTATTAAAATAGAATGAAAAGTAAAATATTATGATAAATCATATACAATAAATTATACTTGAATTTTATTTGCCAATAACTAATTGATTTCATATCATTAAATCTTTGATTTTTTTTAATGATATATGATTTCTTTTTATTCTTCTTGAAAAAAAAAAACGAATGCAAATGACTCGTACAAGAAAACGTAAATGAATATCTTATTTGTCCATTATTGTTTCACTTTTGTTTTTCCTATATTAAAACAATAAAATCCAGAATTGAATTTATAAAATTTTCATGCCATTTTAATAAATGAAACTTTTAATATAGCGGCGTTTATTCGTGACGACTAAAATAAGAATTTTTTAAACTTAGTATTAAATTCTGAAAATAAAAACTTTTTTTTTCATTGTTTTTCGCGCATTCCAATCTCAACTGATATTCTCATGTCAGCTGTGACATATTCATCAGTAGTCGCGGTGGTAAATAAGGGCGGTACTGAGCGGTTTCAAAAACTGCGGCAAAGTCATTAGTCATTGGGGTAATAAATACCGCGGTATTCAATGGTTTCTAAAACCGCTGTATATTCATCAGCAGTCGCGGTGGTACATAATGGCGTTACTGAGCGGTTACAAAAACTGCGGTAGAGTCATTAGTCATTGCGGTAATAAATACCGCGCTATTCAGCGGTTTCTAAAACCGCGGTATAGCCATCAGTAAACGCGGTGATAAATATAACGGTATTCAATGGTTTATTAAACCGCGGTATAGTCGTTAGTAATTGCGGTGGCAAATATCGCAGTATTCAGCGGGTTCAGAAACCGTGATATGCCATTGAGTAACCGCGTTATTTGTTACCGCGGTTTCTCTGCTGAAAAACGCGGTATTTTTCGTGCTTATACCATCGTGATGGAATGTGTAAGGACGAAGAGGATGTCGTGCCCCGCTGTTTTCATGAAAATTTTGAATAAGTTTTCTTATTCTATCTCTCACTACAAAGTAACTTTGTGGTAATGGAACTTCTAAAAGTTCACTACAAGCCCCTTGAAGGCTGGCTCATCTGAACTTTATCATAAATTCAGATGAGTCTGGTCATACCTGAGTCAGGTGTGGCCATGGAAACCGCGGTATATAGCGGTCTAAAAGAACCGCGGTTTCCAGCGGTTTCAGAAAACCGCGAAAGCCAGACCTTTTATTCGGTTTTTCGAAACCGCCGAAAACTGCGATATTTGTACGCCGCGATCATTACTGCTTGAATAAACCGCGAAAGTCAGACCTTTTATGCGGTTTTTCCCGACCGCGGTGATCAACGGTTTTTCGAAACCGCGAAAGTCAGACCTTTTATGCGGTTTTGGATACCGGTGAAAACTGCGGTGTGATATTACCGCAGTGCTTGGCGGTTTTCAAAAACCGCATAAAAGGTCTGACTTTCGCGGTTTCGGAAAACCGTTGATTACCGCACTTTGTGAAACCGCGGTTTCTTGCGGTTTTCGTTTGAAAATTTTTCCGTGGGTGGAGGAAAAAAATGTTTACCCGAAGGTACACGAACGTAAATGATTTTGTCAGATATACCCATATCGGAATGTCGAACCAGATAGAATAAATCATTTGGATTGCCAAAAAAGTAATATCTATTTCGTATTTCAATCGTATCTTCTGATTTTAAACTAATTTCATTTTCATTCAATTCAATTTGGAGATATTCATGTCGTAAAACAAACCAACGATACACAAAAGCCCATTCATTATCAATTAACCTGGTATACAATTTAAAATGAGTATAAAATTGATTGGTATTCATAAAAAATGGGCCTGATGATTCATTATAAATTTGAGTAGGACATCCGAAAAAACACATTACGATAAAACAAACAAATAGACTTACAACTCCTATTTTCAAGTATCGCAAATGTTGAGATTTTTCAGGTTGATCATGAATACGACACAATAATAACGAGACAATCGCTGATTTTCGAATCGAATCAGTTACAATTTCTTGATCTTCCATTGCTTCCGCACAGTAAAATCATTTATGTGAAATCTATGTGATTCACCTGTAAGAAAAGAAAGGAAGTACACATTAAAAAACAAATATGACGGTCGGCGTGTTTTTTCCAAGTATGAATCACTTTTTCATTCTGTCATTAATCTTTTTTGTTGAGGGCGACGGCCAGGATGTAAGGGATAGGTGGTGTGAGTGTGGGGTGTGGGATGTGGGGTGTGGGTTTGGTGTAGTTTTCTTCAACAATCCACCCACACGCATACCAACACCCTCAATAATTGTGAAATTCTGACATGTTTCAATCGTATTGACATTAAGAATTGACAGATTGGTCAATATTGAACGAAGAATATCATGACGAGAATAAATAAACTAGAATAACTCAAACATATAAAAAACTTCATTACCGAATGTTGATTCTTCTACTGAATTTTTTAGAAATTCATATAAACATAATACTTAGGGTTATTCAAAAGTAGTGGGTCTGGGTGGGTGTGGGTGTGGGTGTGGGTGGGTGTGGGTGTAGGTGGGTGGGTATGGGAGTGACGCCTCCCTCCACTGATACCCACGCTCTACAGCTACACCCCACACCCAAACACACACCCACACCCACACATATACCCTTACACTTCGCGATCGATCGCTTTTCTGAAGATCAAAACACGGTTGATTTTCCCGCGCAATCCTATCAGACCACCTTCAAAAACGCACCCAACGGATTTTCCAAGGAAAGCGGGCATCTACACGTAGTTTTCACGAGAATTGAAAGTTTCTACGATATGCCCTGCTAAAATATCTTAAGCCTTTTACAGGTGTCACAACACCTTTAAAGAGGTTTAAAGGCCTTTAAGGGGGTGTGGGTGTGGGTGTCGGTGTGGGTGGGTGTGGGTTTGGGTGTGGGTGTGGGTGTGTGTGTCGATGTGGATAAATAGAGGAATCTTACTCATACTCACACCCACACCCACAACCCACACACCCCACACCCCACACCCACCCACACCCACACCCACACCCACACCCACCCACACCCACCCTCTTCAACAGCGGCAAAGACTAATATTCTAAAAGCACTTTCTCCGAGAAAAAAAAGCTTGTCAGCGCAGCTCCTTTGGAGCTGAAATGTGGAACTCACGTATATCCTTTCAATTTGTTATTCTACTGCATTATTTGTAAACTAAAACATACTATTTTTTCAAATAATTATGAATGCATTAGAATACTGTATAGAATCTGAAGTCTTTTGTGCGCGGTTGTTGACGTCTGTAATGGTGCCCTGTCTGTAAT